AGCCAATGTGAAGGCATGACTTTGCAGGGTCCCTGGAACTAGTCTCCAGTAGTAGTAGTAGTAGTGTTTCTGTGTCAGAGTTGTCATGGCTACCATCTACAGGTGTGCTTGAAGTCACAGTGATGTTACAGGTAGGCGTCCTGCGTCTGACACATTCAAATCCAAAAGGACACAGTAAACTCATGTTTTTCCACAGCAACATCAAGTCTGTCATAAAGAAAACAATCTGTAGATCTCTACAATCTTTGTAATTTTAAAATAACTAGTCCAGTAGTACAGCAAAGTATATACACAACGGTACATCTTCTGTATTAAAGTTTCTCTCTTTCACCAAACTAATCGCTTCATTAACTCATTTTAAAAAACAAGCCTTGGTTTGTCTTTCTACTGTTCCAACAACCACCAGCTCTTTTTTTGTATTTTCTAGTTTGGTGGAAATGAACCCTTAATTGAGTATGTTAGATGTTAAAATATTTCGCCTCTCTGATGGCCGACCTTCCTTTCAATCCTCTCCCGCTTGACACCTCTTCTGTCCCCACCTGAACCAGCCGCGTCTTTGTTGTCCCCAGAGTCAGGGTCCTAATCAGAGCCAATGTAAATCACCTCTGTACTTTAGTCCCTGTCGTCAAACTGGCCTCTGTCGGTCTCTGAGGCTGTGTTCGATCCAGCAGTGATAACTGGGAAGCTGCTGACCCTGCCACTGATTTAGTTGTTAAACACACCCTCTGTTTTATAGATTAGACTATATATTTTCAACTTACTGCCACAACACCATGTCTCACTGGAGACACATTTACTTCCACCAAATCCACAAGCCAAGGAGCCCACTACACAAGTGGAGATGCTTGGTGCAGATCCGCCCTCCTCGTTCTCTCACTAGCTCACACAACAGCACACACATCTCTTTAGCCATTAAATTGTGCAAATGGCGTACTAACGGCCAACGTACATTGGCTGTAATTTATGCTGTATTGTTTTAGTATGCAAATGTGGTGGACGACGGTGTGCCTCTTCTGTAAAAGCGTGCGGTCGACTCAGAACGAAATTCATCGCGAGAGAAACGCAAATCATCGCCGTTCTCCGCCTGATCAAATTCGCTACATTTCACACCGGGTAGCGTTACTGCTGCCAGCATAGTTTGGGGCAATAGCTACAACAATCTCCATTACGAGGCAACACCAATTCGTTTTGGTAGCCTGAGGTCTAAGCTACCACAACGACAATCAGCGAAATGATTCTGACGTGCACGCGCATGTTGCCAAACATACAAGGCTAAAAGCTAACATTAATCTAACTGCAGGTGGAAGTGTTTTGGCTGATATGCTACCGTGCAACTGGGAATTATTTCCTCGCTGGACAAAACAAATGAAGAGAAATATTAGTATGTTGGAACCAGTCTACGATAGACAACTAGTTATGCGTAAATGTTTTTTAACGTTAGTGACATATTTGTTACCTGCCGCCTGCATTCACAGCTAACGTATGCTAGTAGCTCACTTTAAATGAGCTAGCCTCGTCAGCGGTCAGATTGAGTCCTATTTTGTACGCTCTACTTTACAGATCAGCCGAAGTTTAACCACTGCATTTGCTTTTATTCTGTAACGGTCAATGGACAAGACACTAAATACAACTACTCTGTCCATTGAAGCATTGTTTGTCTTTGAAATCAAACCTTTATCTGGATTATCAAGGAGTCAAGACGTAACGTTACCGTTATTATGAATGCTATATGGCTAGCTTATTGGCTAAATAGGCCTACGTGAGGGAAAATAACTCACCCTACAAAACGCCTGGCAATACTCAGAAGACGATTGGACTGGCGAGTCGCTGCTTTCTCTAATCACGACTTCTTGCAGTTCTTTCAACCGTTGTCTAAGTTCCCCAATCGTTTCACTGATACCGTTCTCAGGACTACGGTCCTGCTCGGCCTCCTCGTCCGCCATCTTCACACCAAGCTCTAGCGCGTACCACTACTGCGTAGTTACGTATGCAGCGCAAGGCGATGTTTACGTGATGATGAACACGCTGTCACGTAGTATAGTTAGGGTTAGTTAGGTCAGTCTGTCGTCGTTAAATGGCACAATGATGTCCCTCTTTCAGAAAGACATTGTCACCATCCCATATATAATCAATTAGTGGGGAAGATTTATTTCAAATATCAAGTGGAGAAAGGTTTGGACCATACCCTCAAGATACTTGAACGCAAACAAAACTCAAGACGTCTGTTATAAACTTCTCCATCGATGCTACCCAGCAAAACATTTGCAAAGAATAAGAAAAGACATTTGATAACTCCTCTTTCTGTGGACTTCATTGTGAAACAACCACACACTTATTTTGGAGCTGTCTATGTACTACTATTTTTTGGAAAGACTTTGCCCAATATATCAGCTCTAACATTTCTGCCCATTTTTCTCTGCTGTACCAATATGTGCTGTTTGGTTTTTATGATGTCTGCATTTTGAAACAAAAACAGTATTATCTCATAAATCTTTTTATTATATTAGCAAAATTCCACCCTAAACCTTTATTGAAAGTGTATTTTACTTTAATTTTGTTTTGTTTATAACCCATGGTCTATTTGTCCTTGTTTTAGAATTGCAGTCAAGAATAAAAAAAAATAGTATAGTTAGGGTTGATTGATGATTGAAATTTGTGAATGTACAATGTGGACAAACCACCGTGCAGATTAAAGCTGACTTGAGTCAACCGATTTCCGACATTTTGCGTCAGGGCTGTGATGTTAGATTGAGCCTATGAGCTGTAGCCTAATGACTAAGCAAATATTTCTCTGTGGTAATTACATTATTGGATCAGGTCATTTTCTGTTTGTGCTGAACAGCACAGGGACAGAATGCTGATCATATAAGTAGGTAGGTAGGTACATTTCAGAATCAGAATCAGAATCAGTTTTATTGCCAGGTATGTGTACACATACGAGGAATTTGACTCAGGATTGTACAATGCTCACGATGTGCTTACTTATACAATAATAAAATAATAATATAATAATAATCAAATAAAATCAGACACAAACTACAGAGTAGACAACACTAATATACACACTATGAACAAAACAATATAGACATATTGATTTATTGTCACAATATAACAGCTTATATAATGAAATTATCCTGGGCATAGTGGGTGGGCAGTACTGCTCTTTCTCTCTTCTCCATCACCTTCTCTTTTCTCTCAGTCTCCTCCTTTCTGGATTCATCAATTAGTTGTTTAGTCTATAAATGTCAGAAAATAGTGAAAATTGTTGATCAGTGTTTAACATAGCCCAAGATGACGTCCTCAAATGTCTTGTTTTGTCCACAACCCGAAGATATTCAGTTTACTGTCATAGAAACCAAAATATTTTCACATTTAAAAGGATATATAGAGATAGAGTTAGAGTTATGACTTTCTTAAAACAAGACTCAAACTGATCAAGGGATTTTCAAAATAGATAGCAATTAATCTAATAGTTGAAAACTACTACCTTAATCAATTTATCGTTGCACCTCTAATAGATCGCATGGATTTAGTGGTTTCCTTGAGTTGTTGATATAATCAAAGACCCATCGTGAGTAAATATTTTGTAGTAACAACAACATCATTCACTTCACCCACACACAAGCAATCAGGTGATCAGATGACCAATTCAGTAATCTTGGCGTTGTACAATCTTTGCTGCACTAAAGTTATTTTAGGTACTCTATCACTACTTTTATTTACCTCGGTGACCACGACTGAGGTCATAAGTTCACTTCCCTCCAATGCAAACTCCTGCAGCGAATATCTCATCACGGTGTGTGTAAGCTGTGTTTGTACACAGCCCTGGCTCCAAAACAAACAAAGACACAAAACTATTCCAGCCATGATGTGAGCATCAGTAATGATCAATGACTCACCCACAGACATTTAGCTTACTCTCTATTAGTACACCAAGACATGCTGTTGTTGTGCTGTTAGCTATAGTAGCAGGAGATCTGTGAGTATCTCTGTCTGGAGCTGTCTCGTCCCTCCCTGCTTCATGTTAGCGTCATGTTAGCTTCAACCCAAAACCTAGCTTACATTAGTTACATTACATGCTGTGATGTTGTTTGCTGCATAGTATTGTCCTGGTATTGTATTTCTCCAGAATCGTTTACCCCACCTTTAATGGATCTGGCTACAGCGTTCTTAGATAGTAACCCATTAATGGCAATGAAAGTTTCTTACAGACGTTCATGGTTCCCAGATGATGTATCATTGGTGAACCCCTGACTTGTCGTCGAGCATGATATTCACATTTGTTTGAGGGTTTTTTGTTAGAGTGAAATGTCTTGACAATTATTGGATGGATTGACATGAAAGCTGATAAGTCCCCTTAAGATGAATTGTTCTTACTTTTGTGATTCCCTGCTGTTCTTCTAATGATATCATCAGGTCTAAATTTAGATGTATCTTTAGTTTTTGTTTGTATGTTTTAAATCCTGTCCTGCCCAGCCTGGTATGCAGTATGAGGAACTGTATACCATGTTGTGCCCGAGGAGTTTTAGTTTAGTCCTTTGTTGTCTTTATTCTTTATTTAATTATGTCTGTGTATATATTTGTCACCAGGCCAGACAGGAGGGCAGAAATGGGGGCAGGGGGCACAAACATCACACAAACACCACAGAGAAAGGACATCAACTGCAAGAGAATGTGGGTGGGTTTGCGGGACAAGCCCTAGGGCAGGCCCAGGGGAGCCCAGTCCCCCCCAGCATGCACACCCACTCCAGACCCAGAGACCCAGAGACCCAGAGCCCCGAACCACAGGCCCCCCACACACCCCAAAAGCAGCTTAGCACAGCCCTGACCTGAAGCCCCCCAGTGGAAGTGTATAAGCAAATGGTGGGGATGGGGGCAATGAATGATAATGAATAAAAGCCTTGTAGTGAAATAATAGTATTTATAAATAATTATTTTATTGAGAAAAGCCGGATATATTGTTTGTTGAGATACTTTTTTTATTAAAAAAGCACAACATCTCACAGTAGACACACTACAAGTAAGTTGGACATGTACAGTACACTTCCCTTTTGGTGTTTTTAACCTCAGACCTATGCATGCTCTTTTCTCTTGAGTAACTTTTTAAAAGCCAGCTTAAAATCGTCATTGAAGCTGGTGTACAGCAGGGGGTTAATGAGAGAGTTAATATAACCCAACCAAGTGAGGAGGTCCGAGAGCAACTGAGAAGGCTGTAACACTTGCAGACCCACTAGGAGCTCCTTTAAAAAGAAAGGCAGCCAGCAGATGATGAAGGCCCCGAGGATGAGGCCGAGGATTTGTGCTGCTTTCCTCTCACGTGAGGTACATATCTGGTTCTTCTCAACCTGCCCATCCATGTGTGTCTCAAAGGATGGGACTTGGATAGTGGTGTTGAGTTTGTCAGTAGCCAGTGTGGGATCTGAGTCGGACAAGTCTGACACACAAAATGTGTGGGAGACACGCCAATGGTCTACAGAGTTCTGACTACCCATGCTGCGGCTGCTGAGGTGCCGAGAAGAACCGCGCTTCTGGTAAAGAGTTTTGGCGGCGTTGTAAATCCTGTAGTATAAGATAAGAATGATGATCATAGGAATGTAAAATGCCCCCAAAGTAGAGTATATTGTGTATCCTGGGTGGCCATGCTCTATGACACACTGTTGGAGGCTGCCACTGCTGGGCCTCTGCCTCCAGAATAAGGGTGGCATGGATATGAAAATTGAAATGATCCAGACTATTCCCACCATGACAGCGACACGTCGGGCCGACCTCTTGCGAGCATACTCGATAGCTTTGGTGATGGCCCAGTACCGGTCCAGAGCGATCACACACAGGTGCAGGATGGAGCAGGTGCAGCATGTCATGTCCATGCTCAGCCAGATTTCACATATCACCTGACCCAAGGACCACGTCTCCATGGTGATGTGGAGGATGCTGATGGGCATCACAAGGAGTGCCACCAGGAAGTCAGTGACGGCCAGAGAGCAGATGAGGTAGTTGGCGGGTAGGTGGAGCTTCTTGGTGGTGCAGATGGCGACAATGACAGCACCGTTGATGAGCGCAGTGGACAGGGTGAGGAGGCCGAGGATAACAACCACCAGCGCCATCCTGTCTGTGAATGGGACCGCCTGCAGGCTGCTGGCAGGTGGGCCGGTGCAGTTTGTGAAGTTGGGACCCAAAGTGCTCCCCCCTGGGTAGCTTTCCATATCCATCCCTGAGGCCCCAGGTTGGCCCCTCCCTCTCTGGAATCACTCCCACGGAGACAGTACTCTCTCAGGGGTCAAAGGTCAGTCTGAAACAACAAAACAGGCAAACAGTACATTAGAGGCAGCCAAAGTACACCTTTGGTGCTCTGTACCAGGTGCAGGGTGCTTCCTGCCTCCCATACAATGCATGCTGGGATACCTTTCAAACAAGTATGACCCTGAACCTGTTGGTGAAAAGAATGGAAATATATAGTACTTTTATCTTATGTTTATCTGTATGGCTGGTCTGTTGGTTAGTCCAGTGGATTCTATCCTTCCCAGATAAAAGGTACTTAAAAAATAAATAGATTTCCATGTTTTTTTTTTAAGTTCCATGAATATTTATGGTCCCAGGTAGGTGAGCCACAATATTTTGGTAATGTTTTTCCTTTGCACCATGAATATAAAATAGAGTTGTTGAATGCAGAGAGGTGAAGTTAATATGATCAATAGGTGCACAAGGGGAGGCTGAACCAGGCAGCCACTCTGGATAGCAATGTGTTTCAAGCTAATGCTGATGTGTCTCCAGAGAAAAAGCAGGTCACATGATAATTACAGCTTAATTGGTTAAAAAACAAAACAAAAACTAAAGCAATAGTGGAGTACCTAAACTACTGAAAATGGGATTTAGCCTGAATGAGACATTTTCATGTAGTTGCATTTAATGTACACCAATGAGCCATAATGTATTTTACATTATGACCACTTACTGGTCATAATGTAAAATGCACAGTCCTGACCCGTTGGGGCATGGACTCCACTTTGTACGCGCTGTGTGTTCTGACACCGTGATACCAGACCCAGCGTTAAACTTTTTAGCAATTTGACCAAAAGCAGCTCGCCTGTTGGATCGGACCACACGGGCCAGCCTTTGCTCCCCACGTGCATCAATGAGCCTTGGTGGCCAATGACACTGTCACGGTTCACAGCTTTTTGTTCCTTGGACCACTTTTGACCACTGCATACCGTTTTGGAGATGCTCTGACCCAGTGTTCTAGCCATCACAGTTTGGGCCTTGTCCAAGTCATTTAAATCATCACATTGCCCATTTTTCTTGCTTCTAACACATCAACTATGAGAACACAATGTTCACTTGCTGTCTAAAATATCTCACCCACTGACAGGTGCCATGGTAACAGGATAATCAGTGTTATTCACTTGTCATTGGTCATACTGTTATGGTGGATCTGTGTATTTGACACAATGAAAGAGGACCTCATGTCACAAACCTGCAAATTGAAACATACTTCTACCGCTGGAAGTGAACCGTTGACATTGCAATCACATGGAATGCACCTTAACCATTTAGCTATTAAGACATGCCATGTTTTATTGTAACCATACATGTATTTGATAACAGGTAATATAGATGTACATGTCCTCTATGTACTATATATATACAGATGATTATGTGTTCCTGTCGTTACCAATAATATAATAGGATTATGTGTTAATTCCTACCAATAATGTAAGCTACTACTTTTGTCAAAAATTGTGTGCATTGATTTTCTGGTGAACTCATCCTCCTTTTTTATTGTCAACATTAACTTCTGTATCAGGAGCACTTCCTTTGTTTTTCAGACCCTAGCAGCACTTTCCCAATCCTGTTTATACAAGAACATAAGGATTTAGTTATTTACTCTGCAACAGATTTTCAGCTGGCAAAGTTTTGTTATTATTATCAAGCTCCCACCTTTCCAAACACAACCCACAGCATGCTGATGTAAGGCTTATGGAGCCTTCAGCTGCTCCTGAAACACACTGAGGGGAGAAGCTTAATGGCTTAATAAGGTGAACTGGGTGTGTTGGAGCAGCTAAGTGGTGGGAGTCGCTGACTACAGTGGCTTAGTTGGAGCTGTCACTGTGGACTTGGAGGACTGCTGCTCCTGTACAACATCTCAACACTCGGCAGCTAAACCAGTAATCACAGAGCCCGCCTATCTGTCTGTGAATGGGGCATGCTCCCCAGGGAAAACACAGCAGACTAATTTAGACACAGATGCCGGAAATTAACTCTCAGTTACACCATTTTAATCTTAAATCTCAGGGTACCACTTTCTAATAAGTCACCATTTATAATAATATAATACTCTTTATTCATAGAGCACTTTTCAAAACAATGTTACAAAGTGCTTTCACAAGAGCAAGGTTGTGAAAAATCTCTCTTGTGACCGTGTCTATTCTCAGTAAGCTGGCTCTGTTGTGTCCATAGAGTTGTGACATACAGAATAAGATGTAATTCCTTTTGGAAGATCTTAAAGATGAAAACTAATGTTTATTTATTTGTTATATTTGGTTTGTGTTGGTTCATGTTTTTATTAGACAGTTTGACGTACAGTTGCTATGTGGACTTGTGGCTCTTTACTGCATTAAAAATAAATGAAGATATAAATGAAACCAAACAGAGGCAGTGTGATGTATATAAGATTTAGTTTTTTTGTAAATATACAGTTAAAGTATCTGTTGACTGCATCTCACAATAAACAGCTGAGAGCTCAGAAAAAGCTGTTTTTGTCCTTCCAAAAGAACCTGTTAGTGGACTTTTGAGTAGACATTATTTCACACAAAGCAGATAGACCTTTGTGTTGAAGTTTCACCACCAGAACCCAGCTGAGCTGGTGAACAGCACGACTGCTGCTGTTCCAATTACAAATTGAGTGCACTTTGTCATCTTGTTCTCTGGAGTTCAAACTCCCAAAGATGAAACTCCGACCTCGGCGAACTCTGTACAGAGCGAGTCATTTAGTCTTAGGTTTCTCTGGTGCGCACAACAAACACATTACAAATAAGTGATGGGTGGTTCCTTTGAGTTGATTCATGTAAAAGTATCAAACCTTTTGGGTTTTGATACTTTTTGCAAAATGCACTTTCTCCATGACATAAGTACTCCTTAATAAAGATAAAATATTAATTTGAATGCATTGCTTCAGCATTCTGCTTGTATGCAGGTAGAATATGTAAGCTCAATACCACATTACATAAATGCCACTGTAGTTATGCGTCAGTTGCAAATGAGTCGTCTCAATGAGCCTTTTGAACAGAGCAAAAATATTTTTTTTATTAAGTCGTCAAACCTATTTCATTGAAATATATTCTATGGATCTATGTAGAGATGTGTGATTATTTATTAATCATAAAATTTCATTAGTAGGGTGTTTGTTATTCTTGACATACACTTTTTAACCATCGAATATTTCAATGTATTGCAGATGAAGAATTTTGCATATTTCTTGCAACGAATAAGAATGCATCTTTGGCTGTGACCAGCAGAAATCAAACTAAATGAAGCCATTTTGGAGCTGAAATGAAATGAGCCATGAGATCCGGCTCCCTTCAAAGTGCCATAATCCCCATCACTATGTCCCTGACCCTCAGCCTGTCATTCTTTGAACCGGCCAGTAGCAGATGTCTCAGTTACCTCCGCAGCATTGTACTGCTGCTGCATTCATGTGGTGTTGGAATAATCTGAAAAATAACTTCCAGGGCATATACACTCACTGGCCACTTTATTAGGTACACCTGTTCAATTGCTTGTTAACACAAATAGCTAATCAGCCAATCACTTGGCAGCAACTCAGTGCATTTAGGCATGTAGACGAGGTCAAGACAACTTGCTGAAGTTCAAACCGAGCATCAGAATGAGGAAGAAAGTGGATTTAAGTGACTATGAACGTGGCATGGTTTACAGAGAAAAAGTCAGATAAAGAGAAAATATCCAGTGAGCAGCAGTTATGTGGACGAAAATGCCTTGTTGGTCAGAGGTCAGAGGAGAATGGGCAGACTGGTTCGAGATGACAGAAAGGCAACAGTAACTCAAATAACCACTCGTTACAACCAAGTTATGCAGAATAAAATCTCTGAACACATAACACGTCCAACCTTGAAGCAGATGGGCTACAGCAGCAGAAGACCACACCGGGGGCCACTCCTGTCAGCTGAGAACAGGAAACTGAGGCTACAGTTCACACAGTCACTGGACAACAGAAGAGTGGAAAAACGTTGCCTGGTCTGATGAGTCATTTTCAGCTGAAACATTCAGATGGTAGGGTCAGAATTTGGTGTAAACAACATGAAAGCATGGATCCATCCTGCTTGTATCCTATTGAACTAGAATAACTTGCATTGAACTTAACTGGTTTCCAGCCCAGGATTGTATATTGTATTGTATAGGTGAAGTCCCCTGCAAATGTTTCAGCAACCCGGGCATTGACTGCAGGTCTTTGGCACAACCTCTTGTCAAACAGGTTGAAATGACTTGCAGCTTGCACCTAAACCACGCAATAACCTAACTTACAAACAATTAAATGTTACTGAATATGAATTCATACCCTAAGTGTTGAGTAGCTTTTATATGCACCTGAAAGTTTGCAAAATAGGTGATACAAAGTTACTAGAATTGTTGTCTACTGTGCTTATTTTGCATCTTAAGAGAACTTCGTCAACTAGAGCAGCATAAAAAGCCCATGGTCACGCTGAAGGCTTCTTTATAATTGCATTATTTTTATCATCATTAAGTTATATATTAATGTTGAACTTTAGACGACTTGTATGCGTTCATATGCACCTTTCAGAGTTATAAAAAGGTGGCATTTAGTTTGTGTGATGTGTAATAAATTGTCTCAATCCTGTCCTGAGTGCTGTGTTTTTGGGTTTTTGATTCTGAGGGTTTGGTCTTGTATCTGCATGTTAGTCCTGTTATCTGTTCCATTTAGTTCTCTGAGTTTATTCATTTATGAGTTGGGTATCTGTTATATAGTCTGTGGTCTTGTATCCAGTCTTCGTGGTCTGTGTTGTTCTGTTATCTTGTCTCCCTTAGCCGCCCTGTCTTATTAGTTAGAATCCCTTTCGCTGTGTTAGTTTAGACTTAGTTTTCAGTTTGCTTGCTACCTTTAGTGTGTTATTGTTTATCTGGTTATTATCTGTCAGCTGGTGTTTTGGTATTTTCCTGATTTCAGTCCTGCTCCAGTCTCATGTATTAGTTTCTGTACCATCATGCTTGAGTTCTGTCTGTTTGCTAGGTGTCTATTTATGTTCTCTGCCAGTTTCATTAATTATGAATCTGTGTTGTAATAATCTGATGTTGTTCATTCTGCTCTAGTCTCTGTGTAGCCTTTATTATTATTATTCATCTGTATCCGTCTTGTCTCGTATCTTAGTTCTTAGTCCTGTACCTTAGTTCATGTCAGTGTTTACTCCTGGTCTGTGCACTTCTGTGTTGTTTTGCCCATGTCTGCTCTGAGCTCTGTTTTACCTTAGCTTCTGTCTGTGTTCCTTGTTGGTGTTAGTTTATTTGTGATCTGTCTGCTTGCATTAATTTATTTATATTATCCTGATGTTTAATGTTGAGTAACTTGTGTTTTGTCTTTTCCCCCCTCAGTAATCTGCCTGCCTGCTAGTCTCTCTGTTTTCCCTGCTGTATTCCTCTGCCTGCTTGTCGGGTTCTGTGTTTTGAGTTCCAGTTGGATTCTTGTCTTGTGTCCTTGTTTTTTTGTACCCTGTATGTCTGTTTATATGTATTCATATTTCTGTTGGTATTTGTCTGTGGGCTTGTTGGTAGTTCTGTTAGTTTGGGCCTGTTTGGTATGTCTGTGTTCCTGTCTGTTCATCACCCTGCCTGTCTGTGTCTGTCTGCTGTCATTATTAGTATCACCTGTTTGTGTTCCCGCCCTCCTCGTTAGCCAGTGTTTAAATGTTTGTTGCTTCTGTTCAGCTGTTGCTGGTTCGTTGTATGTTCATCCACTGCTGTGTGTCTTGCTTGCCTGCCTCTGCAACCTCGTTTGTTGGGTTATCCTTTTGTTCTGTCTTCCCAGGATCATTTGGTTTGGACTGTGTTTGCTGCTCTGTGGACAACCTTAGTTTGGACTCTGCTGTAAATTTAGTTCCTTTTGAGTTTAATAAATTCTAAGACTATCTGTCCCGCCTGCTTGTCCTGCGTTTGGGTCCTATACCTGTTCCCCACCTGCACACAAGACAAAGTGTGACGTAAGTGCATGCTTTTTTTAGCTAGTTAGCTAACTAACGTTAAGCCAGCATGGCCAAGGTAACGCTATACGCTACCCCTTCGCACAGATGACTCACGAATCCTAATGTATAAATTTGTGCGACTCCTAAAGAAAGACTTGGTTTCCTTTCAATTCCAGGGTGCCAACCAGAGCAGGAATTAAGACTGTTGGACTTTCTATGAGATGGTCTTTAATTACTTCATGACGTCACATCTGTTCAATTTTCATTTTGTAACTTATCCCTTTACATCTGTCAGCCCCTCACAATATCTAGGATTAGACGTTGTTTCAACATTGAAATGTCTGCTGGGTCTTTGAACATTGAGCTTTCGGTTTGTTTTTCCATTAACAGTGTTTTTCTCCAACTCCATTGGATTTTTTCCTGAGACAATAGAGACATGAAATGGTAGCTGACAGCTCTGCTATCCCTATCAGGAAGGCTGAGTGCACCAGTAGACAAACTGAGGCCTGGACCCAAAAGGCAGACATGCTCAGTTTACAGGTTTATTTAATGATAAGTCACTTACAGGGATGTCCAAATAAAAGGCAACATAGTCCAAACACAGGGGTAAATCAAACAAGGGAACAATCCAGAAATCCAGGGAAAATGGAGCACTAGGCAGAACACTCAACATATGACACAATGCAACAAAAACTAAACACAACTGAGGGCAACATATACTGGGACACACCACACACAAGCAGGCAGGATAATTAGCCACAGGTGATACGCATAAGCAATCAAGTCAAGCAGGAAACAAAGCTAGACAAACACCCAACATCAATGATTACAAAATAAAATGGGAAGTAAAGCTACCGACAATACACAATAATATAAGTAACTAAATACAACAGAACAAGGAAGCAACGATCAACTAACAAAACCTAAACAAGAACACAAAGGCAGTGGGTAAAACAGAAATGGACATTTAACAAAACAAACGCCACACTCAAATCCAAGATTGTGACAATTCATGGAATATCAATTTTTTTTTCATTGGGTTTTTCAGGCAACAGGGGATGAGTACTGAGAAATGTTTTCGGGTGTATACTAAAACAGAAAAATATTGCTAAGGTGTGCATATTATATACTGTGTATTAAATTTTAAAGTAAAGCCCATGCTTGTATGTAAGCAGTCAATGTAAGCCCAACAGATGTTACAGAAATGTGATTTGAAAGCACTGATTAGTCATTCATCCTGGGCCAACGTCCCACGAGAGAACGCTTCATTCGGTCTGTTCAGTAACTTTAGCTGCCAGGCTGCTTGGAATTGATTAGAATCAATCGATTGCTTCTCATTCACTCATCATAGGCAGCTTGAGCAGTATCCTAGTCTCCAGGCCCAGATGACATCATCAAGGCTATTTTCTACAACTTTAAAAGCTCTTCCAGAGATACACAAATGATACTTTGTGCCCCTTCTACTTGACAGTCAAGGTGGTTATCTTTCAAAATGGCTGCATTTTTGTCTTCAAAACTGGAAACTAAGAAAAAAAGGGACGTATACGATACGTAGCTGGTCATTGCATTGTTTTCCTCACTTTCAGTAATGGTGATTCATTAGTAAGTAACTTTATTTATATAGCTCCTTCCAAGAGCAAACCGTCATAAAGTGCTTCACAAAAGAAATAAGGCAGCTGACATAAATACAGACAAGGACTTTTAAGGACATGGTACAGACAGATTAAAACACCATCAAATAGAAATAAGTTACAATAATGTCATGCTCTTGGGTTTTTGTGTGCTATTTTTCTGTTATTTTGATTATGTCCATTCCTTTTTTACTCTTTGCCTCTGTTTTTGTTTAGGTTTGGTTAGTTGATCATTGCCTCCTTGTTCTCTGTATTTGGTTTCACATGTCCTTGTGTACTGTCGCTAGCTTTACTTTCTATTTTATTTTGTAGTGTCATCAGTTTGATGGGTGTGTTTTTGTTTTTTTGTGTCTAGCTTTGTTTCCTGTCTGCTTGATTGATTTATGTGTCTCACCTGTGTTAATTGTCCTGCCTGCTTGTGTATATATTGCCCTCAGTTCTGTTTAGTCCTTGTGGTGTCATCGTCTTATGCTGAGTGTTCCTGCCTGTTCTTTGCTTCATGGCTTATTCCTCGACTAACAGGCTTTTCTGCATTTTGGATTTGTTCCCTGTTTGGATTACTCTGTTTTTCTTGGATTGCCCCTTTTGTTTGGACGCTCACCTTGTGTTCACGTAAGCTTGTTTAGCTTGTTTGAAATAAATCTTTATTTGCACTGCAACCTCCTCCTCAGTGTCTGCCCTCTTCTGTTAATGCACTCAGCCATTCCTGATAATAAGAATAAAAGAAAATTATACACAGGTATAAACAAATGGGTATTGAGGTGCTTTTTAAAGGTTTCCACAGAGCTTAAGTTCAAAGGGAGAGAATTTCAAAGTTTAGGAGTCTCAACCTCAAGATACATTTGAGCATCTCTGCCAAGTCATGGCTGGTTTTGGTGGAACTAGGACGACGACTACTACTACATATTATACACAGATCCTTTAAATGAAAAGCACGTTAAAAGGAGAATTATTCAACTTTTTGTTTTAAAAACTGAACGAATAGATTTTCATTGTGCCAAATTAAAATCAAATCACAACACAGAAAACAGAGGGAAGTGATGTAATATATTTCATATTCCTTAAACTTTTATATTTAAAAAAAAAAAAATGGGACAAGCATTCTCAGTGTCGAAATTAAAATCCAACCACAACTAAGGCTGCGTTCAGACTGCAGGTCAAAATGACCCAAATCAGATTTTTATTTATTTTTTGCCCATATGTGACTCAGATCTGATCTTTTTATGACCGTGTGAACAGGCCTAGTCACATGAAATCTGGTCTTTTCCAGTTCGGATTTGGGCCACTTCCATATGTGGTCCAAATCCGATACAGATCGGATCATTTTAAATGTGACCTCAGGTTGGAATTGATGTGACTTTGACGTCACTCTAGAGCAGCTGTTGTCACAGTTCTGCTGCTCCACAAAAAGCCATTTAAACAAGTGGCTCTTTCTTCTCTACCTCGCTATCATCTGCTCACATCCATTTTCTTTCCCCTGAAAATGGGGAGATGTGCGGTCCAGCATCAGAAAATGTGCTTTCTCGTCCCTCTCCTCTCTTTTGTTGCTTTCTGCAGGTGTTTCTGGCTTCTGAGATGTGCAGTCTGGATCTCTGGTTGTGGGCTTTCTGCTGCCACCGTGTTCCTGCTGGACACCCACTGCTACCATTGTTATTACTTGTCCTATTATTAATATGACTATAATTATCAGTACCATTATTTATTTCTGTCTGAACCACTCACTTTTACTGCCCTCTCTCTCTCCCTCACCACCAACCAGTCAGATGACACTTTTCTAATGGTGACCAAATTTAGTAAGTAGATGACAGCACAAACATTTACCTCATTAAATATGTGATGTCTGATATAAAGTATGTAAGCCATCTCGAGCCCTGGGCCTCACTGATGCTCTTGTGGCTGAAAAGGAGCAAATCCCAGCAGTCAGGTTCTAACACGTGGTGGAAAGACATCAGAAGAGTAGAGGCTGTTATAGCAGCAGATTAATGCCCATGTTCAACTACTGTCTAAGGGTGTAATGGTCAGGTGTCAACATACTGCTGAACGTAGACCTTCTATGCTGCTTAAGGTTTTGCTAACACTGACCCTTTATTCAACGTTCACCTCAGGTTGTGCGTGTGACAGAATACAATGTGACCAAGCTCGTATAATGAGACTCTGTTGTGATTTTATTCTGAACCAGTGACAAGTAGATGAGGTGATTCAGCCACTTGGTGGAGGTAGAGAAATACAAAGCCAGGGAAAAGTCTGTATGTGTGAATATTAATGCTGCATTGTTGATTAGAAGAATGGATCCTCATTTTAATAATCACTCCTGCTTATTATGCTTATTACCTGATTTTGAGGCCCTGTCTTGAAGAAGTCTTCATTATTTGAGTTTTGCGATTAACATAATCCTCAGTTTTTTAATCAAATTATGTGCCAGGTAGTGTTTCAGCATTGGATTAACAGGGAGCTCATTTTTGTTTAGGTATTCCCTAGCTGGTCAATCTGGTTGTGATTACACATGGACTTCAGGTTTGCTTCATACCCATACACAATTTCTGACATCCCTCCAATGAGCAACAATTGTATTGGAAAGCAAACTGACCTGCCTTAGTAACAGAACCTCAGCTGGCAAGACTGAACAACTTCAACTTGGACCAAGTCATCCAACTATTACTAACATGTAAAAGGGGAATCTTTAATAGCAAACTTAAGGAACAGCTGGGTGGTCAACATTGTAGCTAATTTGTATGAAAGATATAAAACAGATTTTCCTTCATCTCAAATAAAGGTTAAATAAATCAAATAAAACAATGGCTTCTACTGGTATGTGGATTACACCCTCACCATAAAGCACTGCATCAGCATCAAGAGCTTCAACCAACACATCAGTAACATCGACCCACACATCAAAGATGATGAAAATGATATGTGAACAGGAAGTGGAAAGTGCTGCTCCTTAACACATTAGCTAATGTTTAGGCTGACAAGGGTATGAGACCACTGTGTACCGGAGCCACGTTGCCCAACATCACTGGTGAGGACTCTCCTACAGAGAGCATTTCATCAGTGAGGAGGGGGATAGAAAGAGGGAGGTGTAGCAGGTCTGGTAAAAGGAGTGAATTGTGAGAATCCTGCCCTGACACTGTTAACTCAACAGGGACCCCCAGAAGCATCCCAGCAGGTCTCCCTTACATGGCCAGCTGGTCAGAACCACAGTTTAGCCAAAGTCCTCAGGCCACTGGGAGTCAGCACTTACCACAAAACAGGTCAAAGGTCATCAACCAGGAGTCAGTGGACGACCAGAGAAAGATCAAGGAGGATATTCACTACCATCACCAGCAGAGACCATTTCTGATAGAGACATTCAATATCCTCTGCCCCCTAATACAACCACCTGAATTCTATACTTATGGTCACAGTACCTGCAGTAAAGTCTCCTTTTGTCTGCTGATGAAGACCATATTATGTGGCTGTAAGTTGACATCACATTATCAGACTTCCCACAGCTCCATCTGGAGACACAAATACACAATACATTTACATTTATTCATTTAGCTGACGCTTTTATCCAAAGCTACTTACAATTACAATACATATTATGGTATACATGTCAGAGGTCACACGCCTCTGGAGCAACTAGGGGTTAAGTGTCTTTCTCAGGGACACAATGGTGGATGTCTTACAGTGGGAATCGAAATCGAAAAGGCAAGCATCTTATCTATGCGAGTTTAGATACGGGTTGGCATTAGCTTAGTCCAGCACGGATAACGTGCCCTTGAGCAAGGCACAGAACCCCTCACTGCTCGGGGAGCCATCCTATGAATGGAAGGAATGTCTGCACCTCCTAATTTGACCATGTTTTGCGGGTTTCCATAACAATAATAAAGTAATAAATATAGAGAGTGATGTCCTAAACTATTTGAAAAGTGACGGTTTTGTTCAGGACATCCCATCTGGAGAGCGCAATGATGATGCAGTGAATAGTGACACTTCTCTCTGACCAATCAGTAGTCTGCAGTGTTTTCATGTCACCTTTTGGGATTGCCTCAACTCACTTGGAACCTCAACGGAGATGACACCAAAAAACCTACCAGGTACCAGGTACCAGGGACCAGAATTGCATAATGGAAAATCAAAAAAAGGCGAGTAGAGTGGAGGCGAGTTGAGTTGGTACCATCCAGTGGAAAAGGGACTATTGAGTGAGAATGTGTAATGTCATATGGTGATGACACCTTATCATAATGACAAGGTATTTTGAAGGAGGGGATGCTGCAGAGGCATATAAATCCCCCAATATAGTCCAGAGTCTAGACAATGGTGGTGGTGGAGAAGATGTTGGGGATCTGTATGAGAAGAGGGGAAGGCTTCTCCTCTGCTGAACTGGACCTGGATCTGAGGCCTCATTTATAAACGGTGCATATGCACAAAAGAAGACGTACCCCACTATCTCAGCAAACTTTGGGATTTTCTAAAAAACAAATTTCACGGGAGAATGTGCGGTCTTCCAAGGTAACTCTGAGCTATGCAGACGCACATAAACAGGAGAAATGAGACTCAGCTTGCAGAAGGATAAAACGGTTTGATATGTATACTGTTGTGTAAAATAAATTGAAATATTAGTAGTGTTATATAAAACTTAATATAATTTAAAAGAGGTTGGAAATGTACTTTTTATATGAAGAAAACTATATTGCATTGCATGTTTTCTTATTGTTCAAATAAACCTTTCTCAAAGCATTTTCATTTGTTCATTTGTCTTTTCAGAATGTTTTTAACAAATGCTTTCAAAATCAGCCATTTCAAAATATGGTGGGGACATGGTTCCAGCGTCCCCAGTGTAAATGACACCTATGGCTTAATTGATGTAACAGGGAAAGGTAAGACAGGTCTAACTTAGAGTCATTAGCTGACCCTACAAGTGTTCACTGACCTTCCAGCTCTAGTAATTTCTCACATGTAACTGTCCTTGTTAGGGAGACAACAGTTAGACTGATAAGGTCGAGACAGTTCTCTGGGAATCTTACAAGGTTGAGTCTTACAAGAATGTTTACAAAATTTACTAGCTCCAAAGATTACAATATAACTCATGGATAGTAATTGATTCCAATATGACGTAGCAATGGAGTCTAAACATCAGTTAGCTTAGTTGTTCTAGGTTAAGGCCAGCTAAAGATGAGCTAAGAGGAAAAGATACAAGAACTAGGGGGGAAACATAAAAGGGACCAAAATATGTTATCCTTCAACCTGGCTCACAATCTTTCATTAACAAATATTACATGAGTTTGCAAAACAGAACAGCTGTTCTTAAATGAATAAACAAATACTTTGAGTGATATTCCCTGAAATGTGCAATAAAAAGAAATAAAGTTCATTTCAATTGTCAGATGAGCAAATACGAGTGCACAGTTTTATATACCGTTATCACATGTACATTGCCTTATCCCCAGGAAATTGAGCCAAACGTTGCTTCAATTTCACGCTGGGTAAAAATATTTTATTAGCTTTTCTGTCAGAATTTGCCATCCTTATCTTCATGCAGTCAGTGCGTATTAATATTAATGAGGAGTGTTTCACTGACTAATTTGTAGGCAACTAAGGGTGGGACAAGGAGCTTGCTCACCTGCGCCAGATGTGAGTTGTAATCAGTAAAGGATAATCAACGTAGGACATGTTATAAA